TCCCTGCCCTGCTGGTGTCACCCATGGTCCTGCCCCACAGCCATCAACCTGCTGCATGTCCCTGCTCCCTCAGCACCCCCTGTCACCGCCCCACGTTCTGGCTCCGTCAGCATCACCTAGTCCCACATCCTGGCTCTGTGGGCACCACCCACAGAGTGGGCACTGGTCCCACCACCCAGCTTCACCCACCTCCCGTACCCCAGGCCCCCGTGCCCCCGGGCAGTGCGGACCTGGAGGTAGAGCAGCCCGTTCTCCTGCAGGTAGAGGTACTGGAGGCTGCGGAGGCCGCGGAAGATGCCGCTGGGCAGGCTGGCCAGCCGGCACCGGTACAGGTGCAGGGCCTGGAGGCGGTGGAGGCCGTGGAAGGTGTCGGGGGCCAGGACACGGAGGTGGGGGTTGTCACCCAGGTCGAGCTCCTCCAGGGCGGGCAGGTGGCGGAAGGTGCCCGGCTGGATGGAGGAGATGTTGTTGGAGTAGAGCCAGAGGGTGACGGTGCTGGGCCCGAAGGTGCCCGCCCGCAGCGCCCCGATGACGTTGTTCTGCAGGAAGAGGCGGCGGGCACCGGGCGGGAGCCCCGCGGGCACCGAGGAGAAGTTGTTGGCCTGGCAGCTGACGGTGGGCGGCGAGACGTAGCAGGTGCAGAGCGCGGGGCAGGCGGGAGCCCCGCCGGGCACCCACACCAGCGCCGCCAGCAGCAGCAGGGCCGCCGGGCGCCCGCCTGAGGGCACAGCGGGGCGTCAGCGCGGGGCACCGCGCCACCCCGACCCCCACGCCGCCACCCCCCGGCCGCCGCCGCCCGCAGAGCCCCCCAGGGCTGTGCCCACCCCGTCAGGCCGTGGTTCCCTGGGAGAGTCCCAAGGCCCTCACCGTTCCATAGGGTTGGACACCCCTAGGAATCCCCCTAGGAATGGTGTACACCCCATAGGGCCATGGTTCCCTAGGGGAACCCCAAGGTCATGACCACCCCATAGGGCTGGGCACCCCTAGAGCCCCTCCCAAGGCCATGCTCACCCCATAGGGCCATGGTTCCCTAGGAGAACCCCAAGGTCATGACCACCCCAAAGGGTGGGACACCCCTAGGAGCCCCCCAGGGCTGTGCCCACCCGTAGGGCTATGGCCCCCAGGAGACCTGCAGGGGTCATGCCTCTCCAGGAACCCCTCAATGGCCACAGTCCCCTGGGAGGCTCCTAGGATCGTGGTCCCCTAGGAGAACCCCAAGGTCATAACCACCCACTAGGGCTGAGCACCTCTTGCAGCCCCCCAGACCCACCTCAGCCCCACAGGGCTGTGTTTCCCAAACACCCACCCGGGGCCAAGCCACCTTATAGCTCCAAGCCCACCCCTCAGGGCTGGGCGCCCCAAAAAATGACTGTGTCCCCCTGGGACCCCCTGGGGCTGTGCCTGCCACTGGGGCCATGCTCCCCAGGGACCCCCAGAACTCCCTGACCCCCCTGCCCTGGCCACATTTCCATGGGACCATGCTCGCCCCAGGGTACACCAGAACCCCCCACAGGGTCATGCACCCCTGGGACCCCCCTCGCCCCAGTCAGGGGGGGGGGGGCTGTGCCCCCTCCCCAAACGGGGCGGTGCCACGTGCGCGCGTGCCGCGGCCACGTGTGGGGCGGGGCACGCGTGGGCGCGGGCTGACGACACGCGCCGCCGCTCCGGGTGTTCAGCATCCCCCCTTCCCCCCCACCCGTGTCCATCCCCCCCCTTGGGCTGCAACCCGAGAGCTTCATCCATAATTCAGCCCGGCGGCCTGGATCCACGCCCGGGGATGCGTGGATGCGCCCAGTCGCCGCTACCGGGGGAGGGGAGGGGAAGGGAGGGGAGGGAGGGGGGCGGTGAGACCCGCCGATGCACCTCCGGTGTGACCTCCGGTGCACCGGGGGGGTCCCACCACCTCCCTCCCTCCCCTCTCCCGGTGCTCCAGGAGTTGGGAGGGGGTACCCACCCCCCACCCACCCACGGAGGCGTCCGGCGCATCTGCTCAGCGCCGCCCCCCTCCCCCGGCGCCCCGTGCCGGCGTGCGCCCCCCACCCGCGTCCCATCTGTCACTCCCCCACGCCGCGGGCTGACTCAGTTGGGAGCTGAAGTCACCGGTTCTCAGCGTTTCCCCCCACCCTCGGTGCCAACCCCCCCATCCCGGTACTCGAGGGTACCCCACGGACCCCGCGGTACCCACCCGCGGGGTGACCCGGCCACCCTCGGCACTACAGCGGTGCCCACATTGTGAACCGCGGGGCGTCCCTAAGCCGGGCTGGGGGTCCTGGGGTGGCGCCGGGTCTCCTGTGGGTCGTGGGGCACCCCCGTGCCGGGGTATGCGCTGGGGGTCGTGGGGTACCCACACTCCGGGCTGGGGGTCCAGGGGTGGCGCCGGGTACTCCGCGGCTCGTGGGGCACCCAGAAAGCCGGGCTATGCATCCCGGTGTTGCACAGGGCGTGCCGGGGATTGTGGGGACCGCCGCGCTGGGCGGGGGTCCCGCGGTGGCACCGGGTACCTCATGTGTCATGGGGCACCCCCACGCCGGGCTGGGGGTCCCGGGGTGGCATCGAGTACCCGGTGGGTCATGAGACACCCGTACTTCGGGCCGGGCTGGCAGCGGGCACCTCGCGGGGCGTGGGGCACCCCCACTCCAGGCAGCCCGGGGGTCGCGGGGAGCGCACCCTGGGGTGCCCCGGGGCTGCGCTCCCACGCCAGGCTGTGCGTTCGTTCCGGGGCGGCCCCGGGCTCCCCGCGCATCCCGGGGCTCCCCACGCACCCCGGGGCACCCGCACCCCAAGCGCCCCCGGGCACCCCGAGCCGGGAGCGGGGTCTGCAGGGCGGCACCCCGGGGGTTCACCCCACACCCGTGGGACCCCGCCCGACCCCGCGCCTACCTGGGGGCAGGTCCCGAGCCGTGGGGGGCCGCATGGCGGGGCGGCCGCTCAGGCGCTGCCCACCCGCGGGGTCATGGCCGGTGCCGGGGGGGCTGCTCGCCCCCTTCGCCCCCGCCGCGCCGCCGGGAGCAGCAGCCGCCGCCGCCCCGGGGCATGGCACGGGTGGGCTCGGGCTCGGGCACGGGTGGGCTCGGCGCGGCGCTGCCCGCGGCTCCGTGGGGCTGAGCCCTCCCCGCGCCGCGCCTTATCCCGGGGCGGCCGCTCCGCCCCCCGCGCCGGCCCCTCCGCTTAACCCTTCCCGGGCCGACCCGCCCCACACGGGACGGGGTGGGCGTGGGGACCCCCCGCAGCTCGGCGGGGAGAGGGGGGGCGCGGGTGCCAACGCGGGACGGGCGCTGCGGGACCCACGCGGGGGACCCCCGTGGGGACGCGGGGGTCAGTGATGGCGCCCCCACGGGGGGACGCGGGGCTCTCGTGGGGGGCTGTGACCTCGGGACTCGGCGGGTGGTCTCCCACCGTCCCTTCCTCCTTCCCTCCCTCCCTCCCTCCCATGACCTCGGGACTCGCGCCGGGCTGCGGTGCCCCCAATGGACCGCGGGACCCCGCCCGCGGGGGCTGCCCAAGGGCGGGTGTCGCGGGGCCGGGAGCCCGGGGCCCAGCGGGCCGCCGGGAGGGCGCGGGGGGCGGCGGTCCCCACGTCCACGCGGGACCGCGGCGCTGTCCGCGGTGCCGACCCGGCGCTGTCCGTGGTGCCGCCTCGGCGCTCCCGCACCGGCCCGGGGCAGAGCGGGCGCCCCCCGCGCGGGGCCGCGGTGCGGGGTGCACCGGCCCCGTGTACCGGCCCCGTGTACCGGCCCCGTGTACCGGCCCCGCGCCGGTGCCGCGCGGGGGGCGGGGGGGACGCGTGGCCGCGCGGGCTGCGGCGGCACCGGCACCGGCTGGCACCGGCGCGTGTTTGCGGCGCCGTCTCCGGCGAGCGAAATGCCACAAGCTGGTGCGGCGGCACCCGTGGGAGGGGGCGTGGGCGGCGCGGGACTGACTCAGGGGCCGCCATCCGCTCCCCCCGCCCGTGCCCCCCGCCCGTGCCTCGCCCGGGCCCGCGGCACCCCGGCCGGGCACCCCCGGGCTGGCCAAGGGGGAGGTTGCCCACCCTGCGGGGGCTGCGGGTGCTGGTGCCCAACTGCCTGGGGGAGCTGGGGACGGGGTGCGTGGGGGTCCGGGAAGGGATGGGTGGTGGAGGATGGAAGGAGGGACAGACGGATGGACGGACAAGTGTAGGGAAGGAAAGGACAGAGGGACCGACACATGTGCGGAGAACATCTGGAGACAGACGGACGGATGGATGGGTGGGGGATGGATGGAGAGGACAGGCAGACAGACGGACAGATGGAGGCAACGGCAGGTGATGGGCAGCTGGATGGTGGTGGGATGGGATGGACAGAGTTGTGGTTGGAGGGGGACAGATGGACAGGAGACAGACAGACAGGCAGATGATGGACAGATGGACGGGTGACAGACAGATGGACGGGTGACGGACAGATGGACGGGTTATGAACTGACAGAAGGGCAGCTGGAGGAGCAGATGAACGACTGGAGGGGTGGGGATGGGCCAGGTGGCTGCGAGCACCGATGGAGGGACAGAGGGAGAGAGGAAAGGACGTGGTGTGAGCAACCAGGGGGAGGGTGACAGGAGGGACAGGGCTGTCCTGGGTGGGGTGAAGGCCGGGGAGGGGCAGGGACAGGCAGGGGATACAGCAAAGCACGGTGGGGTGGCACAGAGATGGCTCCGGTATGGCACAGTTGGAGTGGCCCAGGGGTAGCCCAATGGTGATCCAAGGGTGGTCTTGGCGCGTCCAGGCGTGGCCTACGGGTGGCCCAAGCATGACCCAAGGGCGACCAAAACGTTGCCCCAGCGGGAGCACATCTTGGGGACACCAGGTGATGAGGTGTCACACCTGGAGATGGCGGGGGGGGCACCCGCGGGGGGCGTAGGGGTGGCACCGGGGGAGGGCTCCGTGCCGGGACAGCCCCTCCGGGGCGGACCCGCGGATGACCGGGGCCGCTCCACCGGAGCCGCCTCCCGCGCCCCCCCAACGCCGCGCCAGGGGCGGGGCCGGGCCGGGCCGCTCCGCCCGCCGGGGGTGGCCGCGGCATCGGGGGGCCCCGGGAACACGGGGAGCACCGGCGGCACCGGGGCGGGGAGAGCCCGGTCCCTCCCCGCCGGGCCGAGCGGGAGGCGGGTGAGCGGCGCGGGGATGCGGCGGGAGGAGCCGGGGAGGTGCGGAGGGGCCCGGATGGACCCGGATCGGCGGCGGGGATGGCGGGATCCGGAAGACGGGGGACGGAGGATCGGGGTGGCCGTGGGGCTGTAGGGCCTCCGGGGGCTGTGGGGCCCTGGGCTGGGGTCCGCACGGAGGCGGTGCGGGTGTCCCGGGCGGCACGGGGGGGCCGCGGGGCTGTCGGCCCCGGGGCCGTGGGGCCGGCTCGGGGCGTGGGCGCGGCCGTGCCCCGCGGCTGCTCATCCCCGGGACCACGTGCGTGTTCCCCCGAACACGTGCACGGGCAAAGTTCCCGCGGCCGGGGCTGCCCCTGCTCCGTGGGGCGCGGGCACTGCCCACCCTGCGGCACCCATCCCCACGGAGGGCAGCGGGGTGGGGAGGGGGAGCCCAGACCCATGGCAGCCCTGAGACCCCCCCGCCTGCCCCCCGTCACGGCTCGGGGTGAGCTGGGGGGACACAGCAGAGACGGAGAGGAAAAAGGGGACAGAGTCACCAGAGCCAGGCACCCCCGCCCCGCCCTGGACCCTCCTGCTGCCCCCGCGGGGGGGTCACCGCTGCGGGGACCTTACCAGTATGGGGGGTCACTGGTGTGAGGGGATCACCAGCCTGGCTGGGCTAGACCAGTGTGGCCAGGACACGCCAGTCTTGGCTTGGTGGCAGACGACACCCAAATGCCTCGGGGTGTCCCAGGCAGAGACACTCATATCTTGGGGTGCCCCGATGCCCCCCGAGTGGGCGCCGCGGCCGCAGCTCCCAGTCTAGGTGGCTAAAAATAACGCGTTCCCCCCGGGCCGGCCCCCCCCGATCTCGGCCAGGTTAATCTTTAGCCGCTGGACGCCGGTAATGAGGGCTCATTATCCGACATTACCGCCGGCAGGGGACCGGGGCAGGGACAGGGACAAGCCCCGGACACTGACACGGTGACACGGTGACGGGGGCCCGCCCCGGTGTGGTGGAGCCAGGCTGCGTGCGGGTGAGCAGGGGGGGGAACACGAAGGACAGCGGCGGGCCGGGGGTGACGTGGCCTTGGTGCCCGTGGCACCTGGCCGTGGGTCACAGTGGTGACGCAGGGAGTCCCAGCTGCCCGTGTGGGGTGACTCGGTGTCACCCCCGGCAGGGTGACAATCCCCAGTGCAGCGCAGTGGTTGGGGTGGCAGCGTCCCCAGGAGACACGTCATGGTCCCCAGCAGTGTGAGGGGATCCCAGGAGGCACGACAGGGTCCTCCGGGGTGGCAGAGCCCCAGAGGTGTGACAGTGTCCCTGAGAGCCATGACAGGGTCTCCAAGGGAGGATCCCAGGGGCTGTGCTGGGGCACCAGAGGGTGTGTCACCATCAAGGGGGGTGTGCCACCATCCCCGTCAGCGTGCCTGCCTCCCCAGGGGCTGTGCCAGCGTCCCCAGTAGCTGTGCCAGGTTCCCAAGGGCTGTGCCAGGTCCCCGGGGGGGTGTGTTGGTGTCCCCGGGGGGTGCCAGTATCCCCGGGGACTGTGCCAGTGTCGCCAGGGAGTGTGCCAGGTTCCCAAGGGCTGTGCCAGGTTCCCAGCAGGGTGGCAGTGTCCCCGGGGGGGTGTGTGTTGTTGTGTTGTCCCCAGTGCACACACCAGGGTGCTCGGCAGTGTGCCAGTGTCCCCGCAGCTGTGCCAGGTCCCCGTGGGGTGCTGGTGTCCTCGGGGGGGGGTGTTGGCATTCCCAGGGGTGTGTTATTGTCCCCACAGCACGTACCAGGGTGCCCGGCAATGTGCCAGTGTCCCCAGGGCCGTGCCAGGTCCTGGGACGGGCCGGCACGGGGTGATAGGGACAGCACGGGGGGGTCCCGGTGCAGCAGGGGGACCGAGCCACTATCGGGGGGACCGAGGAGCTGTCAGGGGGACTGAGGTGCTATCGGGTGCTGGCAGCCCCGGGCATCCACGGGTGCTCCCGGGAGATTAGCAGGGGAGGTGTGTGGGGCTGTGGGGGTGCGCCCGGGCCACCCTGCCGGGGTTCAAACGCTGTGGCGGCGGTGACAGTGACAACGGGGGGCCCTGGCCTCGTGCAGGTGAGGGGCGCAGGAGGGGGCCAGCGGGCACGGTTGTGTGTGCGTGCCTGTGAACATGTGTGTGTGCACGTGAACATGTGCGTGAGCATGTGAACATGCGTGTGTGCATGCGAACGTGTGTGTGTGTGCACGTGAACACGTGTGTGTGCATGTGAACACGCGTGTGAGCCTGTGAACGTGTGTGTCATGTGAACATGTGTGTGTGCGCATGTAAACGTGTGTGTGCATGTAAACGCGTGTGTGCCTGTGAACACGCGTGCATGCCTGTGAACATGTGTGTGTGCACGTGAACATGTGCGTGAGCATGTGAACATGTGTGTGTGCATGTGAACGTGTGTGTGTGCACGTGAACACGTGTGTCATGTGAACATGTGTGTGCACATGTAAATGCGTGTGCCTGTGAACACGTGTGTCATGCGAACATGCGTGTGCCTGTAAGCACGCGCGTGTCTATAAACAGGTGCGTGCATGCAAACACGTGTGTGCGCCTGTGAGCAGGTGTGTGTAAATGTGAACATATGTGCGTGCATGCAAACATGTTCGTGCATACGAACAGGCGTCCACGCACGTGAACATGTGTGTGTGTGCGTGCTTGTACACGGGTGTGCACACATGTAAATGTGTGTGTGCGTGCCTGTACACGGGTGTCACCCGCAGGCTCAGCGGAGACGCCCCAGGCCGGTGACAGCCCGTGCCGGTGGCTGCCCGGGCGGGTGCCATGGCGGGGGGCGCGGGGCTGGCCAAGCGCCTGGGCACCTTCGTGTCGGGGCTGCTGGAGTGCGGCGCCTTCTGCGGCATCATTTTCGGCTGGGCCTCCCTCGTCTTCGTCCTGAAGGAACGGGGCTACTTCCGGTGGCTGTGCCAGCCCTCCCCCACCAACCACACCGAGGGGCTCGGTACGGAACCCTGCCTGTCCCTGTCCTCATGTCCCCACTGTCCCGATGCCCTTATGTGCCCTGTGTGCCCGCTGTCCCTTTGCCTAAGTCTCTGCTGTCCCCATGCTCACGTCTTTGCTGTCCCTAATGTCCTGATGCCCTGCAACATCCTGTGTCCCCACTGTCTCCATGCCCATGTCCCTACTAGACCCCAGCCGTGTCTCCAGTATCCTCATGTCCCCGGTGTCCCCACATCCCCAGTGTTTCCCTGGGTTCCTGCTGTCTGCTGTTCCTGTGCCCGCGGGTCCCTGCATCTCCTCATCCCTGGTGCCCCCGGTGTCCCCACACCCATGTCCCTGTGTCCCCATGTCCCCATGTCCCCACGCCCCACTGACCGTCATCCCCAGACTGCAGTGCGCAGGATGAGCAGTTCTCCCTGGTCTTCACCATCGGCTCCTTCATGAACAACTTCATGACCTTCCCCATGGGCGTCGTCTTTGACCGCTTCGGCACCCTGGCCGCTCGCCTCATCGCCATGTGAGCCCTGCGCCGGGGGTAACGGGGGGCTGGCTGGTGAGAGATGGGGGGTACCCGGGTATCCAGGTAGGATGGGGCAGGAAGGTCCTGATGGCACGAGAAGCACCCATGGGGCTGGGGTCACCTGTGTTCCCCAGGACCCCATCCCCACGTGTCACTGCTGTCCCCTCAGCTCCCTCTACGCCGGCGGGACCCTGCTCGTCGCCTTCTCCACTCCAGGTGAGACCCTGCGGGCAGGGGGACCCCAGCCCTGCGGGGCACCTGTTGGGGACCCCCACTGTCCCTGCTGACCCCTGTGTCCCCAGAGCTGGCAGTGCTGCTCTTCCCGGCCATGTCCATGCTGTCGGTGGGCGGCATCCTCCTCATCCTCACCAACATGCAGGTGGGTTGCCCCAGCACCCCGACTCCCACCCAGCGGCAGGGGCAACCTGCCTGGCACGGGGGGACCCTGATGGCATGGGGGGCTGTGTCTCGGTGCCAGGTGGGCAACCTGTTTGGGAAGTACCGCTCCATCATCATCACCCTCTACAATGGGGCCTTCGACTCCTCCTCCGCCATCTTCCTCATCGTCAAGGTGGGCACAGGGCGGGGGGATGTGGCCGTGGCGGGCGAGGGTGCAGGGTGCCCCCAGGGGAGGACAGAGCTGGGGGCGATTGGGTGACATCTGGGGACATACTGGGGACACAGCTGGGGGCACAGCCAGGGACGTACTGGGGACAGAGTTGGGTCACAGCTGTGGAAATACTGGGCACACAGTCTGGGACACAGCTGATCCACTGCTGGGGCCACATGTGGGGACAGACCCAGGGCCTGAGCAGGTGGCCACGGTGGCCAGTGGCAGCCTGTCCCTGTCCCTGACTCCATCTCTGTCCCTGTCCCCAGCTGCTGTACGCACAGGGGCTGTCCCTGCAAGCCATGTTCCTCTTCCTGGCAGCCTGCAGCGCCTGGCACCTGCTGCGCACCCTCTTCCTGATGCCACGCACCCGCGTCCCCTACCCGCTGCCCCCCGGCTACGACTACGGGTACGGGGGGGGGGCTGAGTGTGCCCTGCTGGGGGGTGGGTCCCACCCCGCGGGCAGCAGGTGACACAGGCACTGCCACAGGCTGCAGTGCCCAGGGCGCTCCCGCTCCTACCGCACCTACGAGGAGAAGAGGCCCCCAGGGGAGGATGGCCCCGAGGAGACCCCCCTGGAGCCCCCCGTGCCTCGAGGTACAGGGAGTGGGGATCTGGTCTTGAGGGGGTGGGGCTTATAGCAGGGAGGGGTTTGGTCCAGTGGGAGTGGCCCATGGGGTGGGGCCTGTTATGCAAATGAAGGGGGTGTGGCCTGTGGTGGGCGTGGTTGGAGGATATATTGATAAGCAGGTGAAGGGGTGGAGCCTGGGAGTGGGTGTGGTGGCTGGGGTGTGGTGGTTAGAGGGTGGGCGTGGCACTACAGGTGAAGGGGTGTGGTCATACAGGTGGATGGGGGGGGGGTGCGGGTTGGAGGGACAAGGTGCACCAGCAGGCGGGTGGGGCCGGGAGGGGCGTGTTCCTGCGTGCCCTGCCCTGATACCTGCGCAGGTGAAGCCCCCCCCGGGACGACGTTCCGGGCCTGCGCGTGCTCGTGGCTCTTCGCCTGGCACGTGGCCTGGCTCTCCGTCATGCAGCTGCGCCACTACCTGTTCATCGGCACCCTCAACCCGCTGCTCGAGCGCCTGTCGCACGGGGACTCCGACGCGGGTACGGCACCGCGGGGCGCGGGGGGCACGACGGGCACCCCTGGGGCTGGCCCCCTCTTGATGCTGTTCTCCCCCCTCAGTGAGCACCTACACCAACGCCTTCGCCTTCACCCAGCTCTGCGGGGTGCTCTGTGCCCCCTGGAACGGCCTCATCCTCGACTGGCACAAGCGGGGCAAGCGCCACCGCCCCGAGGGTAACTGTCCTCGCTGCCCTGCTCCGAGGGGAACTGAGCCCCCAGACCCCCCACCCCTAGTGTAACCACCCCTTCTGACCCCCCACCCCGGGGGTAATCACCCCTCCAGCCCTGGGGGTGGTCTCTGTCCTCCCATCTGGGCGAGTGACCCCTCATCTGGGCGGGTGACCATGTGCCACCACCGCCGTGCCCGAGCCCCACAGCACTCGGGGAGGGGGCCGTGTCCCCGTGGCCTGACCCCCGTGCCCGCAGGTGCCCGGGCCGCGCTGGCAGACCTGCGGGCCGCGGTGGTGTCCCTGGTGGTGACGGTGGTGCAGTGCCTGCTGTTCTCCGTGTGCGCCGCCGTGCCCGTCCTGCAGGTGCAGTTCGCCACCTTCGTGCTGCAGGTGATCAGCCGCTCCTTCCTGTACGGCGGCAACGCCGCCTTCCTGGCCATCGCGTGAGTGCCAGGGCGTGGCCACGGGGACGGGCTGGGGGTGGCACGGGATGGTGATGGGGCTTGGAGTGCCAGGGGACAGGACGGTGGTGGCAGGGGAGGGGGTGGCGGTGTCGGGGCGGGGGTGGCAGGGGAGAGTGTTGGGGCCGGAGGGTGGGGGGGGACGTGGTGGTGGTGACAGAGGATGCTGGCAGTGCTGGGGAGTGGCAGGGGACGTGATGGTGGTGGCAGAGGTTGCAGCCAGTGGCAGGGGACGTGGTGGTGGTGGCAGGGGAGGTTGGCAGCAGTGTCAGGGAGTGGCAGGGGACGTGGTGGTGGTGATGCTGGCAGAGGGTGCAGGACAGTGGTCAGAGCAGGCAGTGTCAGGGAGTGTCAGGGGACGTGGTGGTGGTGGCAGAGGGTGCTGGCAGTGCCAGGGAGTGGCAGGGGATGTGGTGGTGGTGGCAGGGGTGGTGGCAGTCTCAGGGAGTGTCAGGGGATGTGATGGTGGTGGCAGAGGGTGCAGGCAGTGTCAGGGAGTGTCAGGGGACGTGGTGGTGGTGGCAGGGGTGGTGGCACGGTTGGGGGTGTCAGAGGATGGGGTATGGCGGTGGCAGCGCCAAAGAACAGTGTGTCAGAGTGGGGCTGTCAGGGGTCAGGGTGTCAGGAGGGTGCTGGGAGGGGTGCCAAGGGCAGGGTGTCGGGAGGTGCCCGGCAGTGACGGGGGTGCCCGGCAGGTTCCCCCCACAGCACTTTGGGAAGCTGTACGGACTGGCCATGGCACTGTCGGCGCTGGTGGCCCTCCTGCAGTACCCCTGTGTCGCCCTGGTGCAGGGGCCGCTCCAAGGGGACCCCTTCTATGTGAGTGCACCCTGAGGCCCCTCCCCGATGGGTGGGGGGGCTGCTCCACGGGGGAATGGGGGTTCTGCTCTGGGGAGGGATGGGAGTCCTGATCCTGAGGGAAGGGGGGTCCTGCCCAGATAGAGATTGGGGTGCTGTCCCACGGTGAGGTGGGACTCCTGCCCCATGGGGAAATGGAGGTCCAGCCCCGGGAGCGATGGGGGTCCTGCCCCACACTAGGGTGGGGGTCGTGCCCCGGGGAAATGGGGGTCCTGACCTAGCACAGGGGACTGGGGTGGCCATGGGGCTGGCCCAGGGGCTCCCCCTGGGTGGGATCAGCCCCTCAGCCCCCTTCCCGGGCACTCCCCCCTCCCCAGGTGAACGTGGGGCTCATCGCCGTGGTGCTGTTGGCCTTCGTCAGCCCCGTGGTGGTGGCCCGCGAGTGCCGGCGGCGAGCCAAGGAGCTGGAGGCAGCTGGCACGCCCCTGACAGCCCCCCCTGCCGCCGAGACCCCCGCCGAGATGCCTCACTGAGCCCCGCACCCGCCAGGAACCCGGCACCCAGCACCCCGTTTTTGTACTGGCCGGGGGGTGCTGTGCCGGTGGGATGGGGGGGTTCGGGGGGTAATAAACGTCGCTGCCCCCTCCACCCGCTGTGCTGCTCCCCCAGCCCCCTCCCCAGGCCCCCTGCGCACACGGACACGGCTCAGAGCTCCTCTGCTTTACTGGGAAGGGAACTGGGGGGCCGTGGCAGCACTGGGAGATCAGTACTGGCAGATGAAGGGGCGCGGCTGGAAGCAGGGGCGGCTGCGCCAGAGCCCGTCTGGGGACAGGGACAACGGTCACGGCCATGGGGTGGACCCCAGGGCCCCTCTATAACCCTCCCAGTGGCCCCCAGTGCCCTGTAACCCCTCCCAATGCCCCCTATGCCCCTCCAAGTGCCCTAATACCCTGCAGCTCATTCCTAGTGCCCCCCCCAGTGCCCCAAGTAACCCCGAACCCCCTCCCATTGCTCCCAGTAGCCCTGTGCCCCCTCCCAGTGCCCCCCCAGTGCCCCAAGTAACCCTGAACCCCCTCCCATTGCTCCCAGTAGCCCTGTGCCCCCTCCCCGTGCCCTCCTCAGTGACCCAAGTAACCTCCAACCCCCTCCCATTGCTCCCAGTAGCTCTGTGTCCCCTCCCAGTGCCCCAAGTAGCCCTGAACCCCCTCCCATTGCTCCCAGTAGCCCTGTGCCCCCTCCCAGTGCCCTCCCCATTGCCTCCAGTGGCCCTGTGCCCCTTCCCAGTGGCTCCCCCACTGTCCCCAGTAGCCCCGTGCCCTCCGAGCCCGTGTGCCCGGTGTGGTGGGTGGGGGGGTGTGGATGCCCTCACCTCGGGTGCTGAGGGTGGTGCAGGTGGTGACAATGTGGTGGGGATAGGTGGGTCCCCAGTTGGCGTAGTTCCAGGGGCTGGAGTCCTCCCAGTACGACGCCCACTTCCCTCCCTGCCATGGTGACATCTCAGCCCCCAGTGACAGCCCCCAGCGACAGCCCCCAATGACAGCCCCCAGCATCCCATACCCAGCCCCTCGCCCCCCAAAACCAGCCCCAGCACCCCTACCCAGCTCCTCACCCCTCCAGACCCAGTCTCCATCCTGAGCATCCCATACCCCAGTTCATCTCCCAAAAACCAAGTCCAGCACCCAGCGCCTGGTACCCAGCACCCCCCAGCCGGCCCCAGCACCCCCACCTAGCCCCTCACCTCCAAAAAGCAGCCCCAGCACCCCCACCTAGCCCCTCACCTCCAAAAAGCAGCCCCAGCACTCCACACCCAGCCCCTTGTCCCCCCAGACCGGTGCCAGGTCCCAAGCCAGCCCAGGCGCCCCCCCGGTGCCCCCTCACCTTGCAGCTGGTGACGGCCCCGATCCAGACGGAGATGTGGGTGTAGGTGCGGGCCAGTTTCTGCAGCTCCTGGTTGCGGGAGGCGCTGTGCACGGAGGCCAGCTGGCCCCGGTACACATCCCGGCAGTACTTCTGCGGGACGGGCACAGCCTGGCACCGGGCACCCGCCGGCACCCACCCGCACCTCAGCACCCCCGCACACACCTCCCACCGGCACCTCCCGGCAGTGCCGCTGTGGGATGGCCATGGCCTGGCACCCCGGGACCCCCCGGGACCCCCCGGGACCCCCTGGCACCCAACCGTGCCCCACGCCCCCTCACCTGGGCACTCGAGTAGGTTCGCAGCCGGTTCACCACCGCGTAGCGGGGCTGCGGGATGGCCTCGGCCGCGGGCACCCCCTGGGGCTGGCGGGGGGCTGCAGGACAGGGCTGTGAGGGCTGGCACCGGGGTCCCTCTGCTGCCTGCTGCCAGCCCTGGGCACGCGGCACTGGCGAGGTGGGCATGGCAGTGAGGTGGCAGGGACTGAGGGTGTCCCCAGGATGTCCCCGCGGGCAGGCGGGGGCGTGGGGGGCACTCACAGGGGCAGGGGGACACTCACTGGAGTGGCTGGTGGGCACAGTGCCCAGCAGGGCTAGGGCGAGCAGCAGGCAGGGCCACATGGTGGGGAGACACGCAGGGACACTGGGGACACCACCAGCACCCTCGGGAGATACCACAGCCCAGTCATCCTCCACCACCCTGGGGACACCCCCGTGGTCCAGAGCCCCTCTTTGTGCCCCTCTTGGTGACAACCCATCCTCCACACGTCTGCTCTGCACCCGCCCATGTCCCCACCGAGCCTCTGCCACACCCGGTGCCAACCCGTGACCCTCACCCCATTCTGCCTCTCTGTGCCCCATGCCCCTCTGCCATCCCCTGTGCCACCCCCACCTCCCCCTGGCACCCCAGAGCCCCCCGTGCCAGCCTCAGGGACGTCCACCCCTACCCCCAGCCCCAGCAGCCGTGGGCTGAGCCCTCCCCGTGGCCCTGTCCCCGCTCCTCACCTGGGGGCTGGGGGGACCTGCCCCCTGTCCCCTTTATAAGGGTGACAGGGCCATATGATCCCACCACAGCCTTGCGCCACCCCAGCCTGGACTTGGGGGCACCGGGGGGACACCGGGGGGCACTGGAGGGACACCAGGGGTGGGGGGAAAGCGGGGTCTGGGACCGCAGAGGTGGGGGCTGCTCGAGCCCGAGGGGTGGGGGTGTGGGGCTCAGCGTGCCCCGGGGGTTGGGTGCTGGGGGTGCAGAGGGGTACTGAGGGGATGTTGGGGGCTGATACCATCTCCCACCAGCCGGGCTTGCCCAAGGGCCATTTCCTCCCCAACGGCTGTGGCCCCCCAAGTCCGGCCCGGTCGTTTGCCCACGGCCCCCCCCGACTCCCCCAGGCCCCCCCTTTCCCCAACTGACCCCCCTGACCGGCAGCTCAGCACCCACAGCTCCCCCGGGGCTCTGCACCCCCTCCTCTGCACCCTAAATCCCCATCCTCACCCCCACGCTCTGTGCACCCCCTTCCCCAGCAGCCCCCTGTGCCCCTGCACCCCAAACTCCCTGAGATCTCGTACTGAGACCACGCACCCCAAACTCCCAGCACCCCCTCTCCAAGCCCCCTGCACCCCAAGCCCCCACAGCCCCCATCCCTGTGCCCCTGCACCCCAAACTCTCAGAGCCCCCTCCCCATGCCCCTGCACCCCAAACCCTAAAAGCCCCCTGTGCCCCTGCACCCCAAACCCCCACAGCCCCCTCCCCGTGGCCCTGCACCCCAAATTCCCAGAGTCTCTATGCTGAGCCCCTGCGCCCCAAACTCCTTCAGTGCCCTCCCTGAGCCCCCTGCACCCCCCTTCCCTGGACCAAGCACACCCTGAGCACTGGCCGGGCGGGGTGTGGGCAGAAGCCCCCCCGGGTGTCACCCCCATGCCCCCCCCCAGCGTGTCCCCAGCAGTTGGTGGTCAGGAGTGTCACAAGGCTGCGGTTGGGGACATGTGTCCCTGTCACCAATATAAGGGTGGCAGCGGGCAGAGCCCCCCAGGACTCAGGTGAGGGGATACTGGGTTGCACTCAGTCCCTGGCTGCCAGGGTTGGGGGTCCTGGAGGCTGGCACGGGGGTTTCTGGGGTGCCAGGGGACATGATGGGGGACTGAGTGGCACAGGGTGCCCAGGGGATGGGGCGACCATGGGGTTGGAAGTGAGGAACTGGTGACATGGTGGGCACGGGAGGGCTGGGATCGGTGGGGGTGACACTGGGGGTGACAGAGGGGATGAGGTATGGGGTGGCACTGGGGATGGTGGAGGGACATGGGGATCTGGGAGGGTTTTAGAGGGGATATGGGGAAGACCGAGTGACGCTGTGGGTGGCAAAGGAATGCTGGGGATGGCACAGGAGACGTGGGGAGGATGGGATGACCGACGGGGGTGGCAGAAGGGCCATGAGGCTGTCCCCAGGGTGGCCGAGGGTGACAGGGCTGTGATATCTCCCGAGGGTGCTGGTGGTGTCCCCTGTGTCCCTTCATGCCCCTTCACCATGTGGCCCTGCCTGCTGCTCGCCCTGGCCCTGCTGGGCACTGTCCCCCCCAGCTGCTCCGGTGAGTGGCCCCCACACCCCCACCTGCCCGTGGAGACATCCTGGGGACAAATCGGACCCCGGGATGACACTGTTGGTACCCCTAGGCCCTGTCAGCCCCATGGCAGAGGAGACGGAGGAGACGGAGGAGGCGGTGGGGCTGGAGGTGCCTGAGGAGGCTGTTGGGGCCAGCGACACACAGACACTCAGCGTCCCCAGCGCGCCGGGCGCCAGCACCCGCACCTACGTCGTGGTGCCCAGGTGCCGGACCTTCCATCAAGCACAGGTGGGATGGGTGGGTTGGGTAGGGGGCCAGGGTGGGGGGCTCTGGTCCCCCGTGTGACAGCCACGTCCCTGCAGAGTTTCTGTGCCCGGAGATACCGTGGGAAATTGGCCTCGATCCACAGTGCCAGCACCAACGCCTTCCTGCTGCGCCTGGTGCACCGGCTCAGCAACGCAGGCCTGGTCTGGATCGGTGCCGTCAGCGACCCCGCCGTAAGGACCCCCACCCACCACCCCAGCCTTGGGGCACCCTGCCCCATCCCAGTGTCCCCACTGCCCACCCTGGATGTCCCAGCCCCATTATTCCCAGTGTCCTCCTCAGTGCCCACCATGAACACCCCAACCCCACCCTGGTGTCCCTGGTACCCACTCTGGGTGCTCCACCCCTCTCCCAGTATCCCTAGTGCTCACCCTGGATGTCCCATTCCCATTTCATTATCTCTAGTGTCTATCCTGGGTATCCCACTGCCAACCCTGGGAGTCCCATTCCCATCCTATTGTCCCCAGTACCCACCCTGGGTGCCCAGCCTGCCCTCCACTCCCCGGGCACCCCATGCCAGTGCCGGGGGTCCACATGCCCTTCTACCTGGCAGATCCCAAGACCCTACTGCCACTGGACTGACCGGAGCCCCTGGGACTTCAGCCAGTGGCTGCCTGGGCACCCCCTGCCCGGCCACCACTTCTGCACCAGCCTCTGCACCAACAGTCAGTGGGGGCTCTGGGGGGGGTTTGGGGGGCCACAGGGGACCCCCTGCCCACGGTGGGGTTGGAGGGGAGGGTGCTGGGGCACCTCGGGCTGGGGAGTGACACCAGGGCATTGGGGTCTAGTGTGGGGTGGCTGGAGGGTCTGTCACTGGGGGAGGCTGGCATTGAGGG